TTCCCATCAAACACAGCAAAATGTTTTTTTTGTTGTTGTTTTTTTTAAAACTTGATTTCTACTGAAGTGTCAATCCTTTTAAATATATCTGGTTGTATTAATGTTATCAGGGAAGTGCTGACTATATTTCTGTCAACTAATCATTGCAGCTCTAGAGATAATCGCAAATAATTTGTTAATCAATTAATCATTTCAGTCATTTTTCAAGCAAAACTTCTGAAAATTTGTCAAATAACTGCAAATTTACTGCCTTTCTGTGTTGTATATCACAGTAAACTAAATCTAAAAAAGTAGAATAGAGTAGAGTGGAATACAAAATAGTTGCAGTTCTGTGTTAGTCAACTGATTTATCAATTAAATTGACTAATTGCAGCTCTATAATGAATGAACATGTATTATCAAACACAAAAAGGAAAGGTCTGATGGACATGAAAAGCAAGTGGTCAAGAAACCAGTGAGTTAATGTGAAAAAAGAAAACTCATACCACTAATAACACATACAATGTGCAAAGTTTTCAGGTATATACATCTACTAGGCTGCTCCTTTTCCAAAAGCCAAGTCCATTTAATTTGAGGATGGAGAATTATTGATAATGGATGATGGGTCCAGGACACAGACACTGCTGCCATGTCAGTCCCAAGGCAAAATCAGATCTGTATTGTTGATAGACCCCCTGCAGATGCACCCAGCCATGTTTAGTACACTGAGCAGCATTAGAGAGATTCAGAAACACAACATGCAACACAAAGTGCCTGTGTGTGCCAGCAACATATGTCTGTGTGCACAACTCAAACTAACCTTAATCCTAGGGAAAAACTGTGTATAATCAATGCATGTTGGTCATCATTTCAGTCATGTAGCCACAATAATTATAGGGGCTTTTTAACTTCCTGAACTTTCAGGAAACTCTGTGCTTTCGATTTTTGGGGGATATCCATTGTCTTTCTTGTGAAAAGCACCTTCCTGTGTATCTGGAGCAACTACTTTGTGTTTTATCACTTTCTGAACATAGTACTGCTTCCAATGTTTTTCATAATCCTTAACCATTTTTTCTGAAAAATGTGCATTTGTTTCAGGGCTCAGGAGAACAAAGTGAAACCAAAAAATAAGCAGAAGGCAGGACTTTAGATAATTCATCTTATTCGAATGTGAATGAATATCAGAAGACTAGTAAATGGGCAAACAATAATCGAGCAGTCACGAAAGAAGGGCCTTGGTAAGAGAGGTGAACAAGAACCTGATGGTCACTCTAGCTGAGCTCCAGAGATCATTTATGGCAGAGTGTCCAGACTAAGCCTCTCAATGAAAGACACATGAAGGCCTGCTAAGTGTCATGTCTACAGGAAACCAGGCAGTGCTCATTACCTGCCCAATACCATCATCAGTGAAGCTTGTTGTGTCATACCCAAGAAGACTTGAGGCTGTAATCACTGCCAAAGGTGCTTCAACTAAATACTGAGCAAAGGGTCTGAATACTTATGTCAATATGACATTTCAGTTTTTCCTTTTTAATAAATTTTCTAAAATTTCTAAAATTCAGTTCTCACTTTTATTATGAGGTATTGAGTGTAGATTAATGAGGGGAAAAATATTTTACCATAACGCTGCAACATAACAAAATGTAAATAAAACTGAAGGGATCTGAACACTTTCTGAATGCACTGTATACCTTGTGAATGGCAGAGGTCTTGGCATTTAATGTGTTATGTCATCACATTCACAGCCAGGGGACAATGGAAAAAGGACAAAAATCACATGAACCAGCTTGTAGCCCAAGACGTGGATGAAACTGAGGGGATTTTCTTTGTCAAGCAAGGAGAAAGTTCAAAAGCATAGGCCCATCTGCACACGGGTGCCCCCAGGTCTTTCAGAGGAGCAGATAGTTTGTGCTCTGTATCTATTTTTACTGCAGGCCAGCGGGTATGAGTCCCCTGACCCTGGAAAGAAACACAAATGCGCCTTTCATTGGCTATACTCATAAAGATAGACTTGTTGTGAAGATGCTGCGCAATCACAGCATCTGACTCCAGTGCTGACAAAATAACATCAGTTTAGGGGACAAAGATTATTTCTCTTTTGAAAATATGTTGATCCACACTGGGGACCTAGAAAGACAAGAACAACAAGGAAGGATAAACTATCTTCTCTTGTTTTCTGTTGTACCATTTTCATGCTTTATGGTTTAAGTTAAAAAACAAAATTAATTAATTAAATGCAAAAACCATTCAGATGGTGCACACAAGTCAAGTTAGTGGTGGAATGAAACTAGTACATTTACAATGTTGACTACATTTGATTACAATGTTGGTACTTTTACTTTACCAAAGTATCGCTGTTTTATTCTACTTTACTTCTACTCCATTACAATTCAGAGCAAAATGTTGTACTGTTTACTCCACTACATTACTTCACAGCTATAAATATTAGTTACTTTAAAGACCAACTTTTTACATTAAAATTGTTTAAGATTATATCAGAAATTTTCAACCTTTTTGGCTAATGACCACAACGTGTAGTTGTGCCTCCTTGTCATTTTTATAATATCTATGACTTATTTGCAGTTCCATCAAAAACATTTCCCCTCTAAACTGCTCGTATGGTTTCTTTTCAATAACTGTTCAAATTATCCAATATTTCACTAAATATTTTAAGAAAAAGTTTTCCAGATGCGTTTGTTTGATTTTTCTTTTTTCCTCCCATATTAATCATCTCACAACCCCTCAGATTTATCTGGTGACACTAAGGAGGAGACTGATCCATGGTTGGAAACCACTGGACTAAACTAGTTATGTGTATAACAAGTAAAAGTAGCTCCACCTCAAGCAGCTACAACAGTAAAATTATGCACTGAAGTATCAGCAAATGTCTCATGTAACAATGTATGGCTGTAATAAATATGGGGAACAGATGCGGGGCTTAAACTTAGTATTTTTAAATTGTGGTGTTAACACTTTTACCTATGTAAAGGATCTGAGTACTTCTTATATCTCAGAAGTTAGTGACAATTCAACAGTTTCCTGCAGTTATTTGATTGCTTCTGACAGTTGCAGCTTAAAAATGTAGAAGAGGCAAAGAGTAGGCCTGCAATAGCGACAAAATCTATTTGTTAGCTATCCGATGGTAAACAATGCCGTGACAAAGGAAGGGGGGGGGGTCCAATGAAAAAGTTGGAGTGGATAGCTGACAGTGAACTGGTCCCTGTTCCCATTAATTACTCACACTGCTACACTGCCTGATTCAAAGTCGACCGCTGGGCTTCCAAGAACGTTTCCCAAGCATGCTTCCCAAAATGAGGCTGCCAGTAAGGACATAAGATCTTAGGGACACTTTACAGCTAACAAACTCAACGAGAGCACCAACTGAGCCTCCAATGGGTGGAATGCAACAGATTCTTGAATGTGACTCAAGGGGTCCAGCACCAGTTTCCTGTAAACTATGGGGGCAGAAACTAGAGCAACAGAGGAGAAAAGAGGGGTATACGGGGGGTCCTGGCAGCTTCTTCTGCATGGCAAATAGCATGAAAGATTAGCATTCCAATAGACCTCTCCATACCAACAGACCCCTCCCACAGTGCTAATCTAAAAACACAGAAACATTGTTAGGAATGTTAAGAGCCTTGTCATGTGGGCGTTGATGCATTTCTCAGACAGTGCAAAACAGGGACAAAAATGACAATCTACAGGGTAATCATCTCATTGCAAGTCTATTGTGTCCTTTTTAAAATATGCAATTTTAACATGCTTCTTAAGGGGAGGGGAAAGCTCAACAAGATCATCTCATCTCTCTCTCTCTCTCTCTCTCTCTCATGACCTTGTGTCTCACGTTGGAGATGTCTTAATTTTTTATCTCTCACCTCAGGGGTTAATTACCAAGCCCACAGACTCAGCAGAGCCAAATTACAGTTCCCCCCAATTATCTGTTTCTCTCACTTTTCCCACTTGATCAATATATACACTGTGCAGCGCATGTGAAAATATTTCTTTGTCTGTATGCCACTTCTGTGCCTATGCCAGACAATTCTGTAGGCAGATGTCAGACATGTTGGGTTTCCCTGTGGACTGACAGTGTGCAACGAGCGTGGTACAACACTTTCGAACCCTGTTTGTTGTACCCTTGCACGAATTTTGGTGACACTCTAGGCTTCTCCTAAGGTCACAAAAGGAAAAACTCAGAATACTAAATGTTCAAGGGTAGGTATTGTAGGTAGAGGATCAATATATCTTGTGCTGCAAGACCTCAGGGGAGCTCAGAAAGCTTCAACCAGTCATTGAGTTTTCTTGAGAGGTGCCAAGAAGAAAAAACAACCAAATTTCCTTAATTAAATCAATTCACTCCTCAATACACATCCAAGCCTGGAAGTAAACATTGTCTACTGTTGTGAAAAAAGGACGATGTTTACAGGGAGCATTGCTTTTTAGGCTTTGAAACCAATTATAAATAAAATATCAATGGTTTTCTTGGGTACAGGTACACAAATAGAGCTTTGTAGAGCCAGCCTACATTAAACCATTCATCAGGCTCTTTGACACTACTATTGGCACTCATGTCATTGGGTCGCTTTAAGGAACATCTGATTCAGATCAACACAACAGCAGCTCTGCTCATTTGGCCTGGGTGGACAAAATAGGCATTTGACTACATTATTTTAGATTTTAGGATACTGTTTTGGACACCTTTTCACTATTTATTTTCACATTCAATGAAACAAATTAACCAAAAAAAAATTTGGCTGATTATGAATGAAAACAATTAGTTGCAGCCTTAAAAAATGAATATTCCTCTTTCCTTCAAAGTAACATCAGAAGAACGTGGCTGCACTGGGCAGCTGAGCAGATGTCACTTTGTGAGTATATGAAAGTGAAGGTTAAATTAAACATCTCTCATGGTCTCATCACATGATATGTGCAACACTGTGACTATAGTGTATAAACCCATAAATTCTGAAGCTGACATCTTCATATCTGAGCCACATGTTGTGAAAGGTGTGTTGGCAACTTACAGTTCATCTCGTTGCCGTTGTGACAGCACCATGGTGACGTGTGGGCGGGGCCGGGAGGGATCAGATGGTAGAAGGTGAATCTTGTGCAGCTACTGCGCTCTCCTCAGTCAGGAGATGAGCTGTGCTGATCCAGGCAACACGGACAAGGACGAGCTGTGTACTCCAATGACGGGCAGTTGGTTTTATCTACACAAAGTCTCAGACTGGAAAGAGGGGAACGCAGGAATCTGCCCCCCAACTGGCTGACTCCAGGGACAAGAGAAGTGGATAGCCTGCAAACCAGTCACCAGCCAAGTCTACACTGCATCTGAATAAGAGAGAGAGGGAAAGTCAGCATTAGGTATGCATGACAGATAACATGAAGAATGGGTGGGGATGAAAATGTTTATAGGCCAGGAGTGCTGCATGTCTGCACCAGTTTATACACAGACAAAATGGCTGAAGGATCTGTCAACAATGGAAAAATAAGACAAGCAAGAAACAATACATATGAAGTATTTTCTACCAGAAAGAGAACTCCCACATTGATGCTTCAACAGCACTCATTCTCAAGCAAATAAAATACAACATAAACCCATCTCAGACATTTCATAAAAACCACCTCCTTTCCATAAAGCACTCGCTCATTTGCTTTTCAGCGCCACTCATGCTATCTATGATCATAATCTGTCTGTCATGTCACCAGTCTGGTCTGAGAATTCTGATCTGCTCTTGCAGCAAATTCTCCTCTCCATGCACATACAAGAGCTGACCCACATTCTCAAAGCAACATACTACTCCCAGGTTGCCAACAGAAAAGAAAAACAGGACACAGCCGAGTGTGCTCAAGTAACGGCTGAGCTCTTGTCAAATTCCCTCTCATCTAATGACACCTCCTCAAGAGCTGGCTGGCCGGCCTAATGGCACAATAAAATTACTACGACCTAGGGATGCTCATTTTGATTTTTTTTTTCTGACCAATAGCTGATGCTTGTTAACCGACCATTAACTGTAAACAGACAAGATTAAAATGTACTATTTGGAATGGATGAGTGTCTGTGACCAAAATACCAATACAACAAAAAAGAAGGGGCTTATTTTTAGATTTGCAGAATCAGCATAATAGCCTTGATTTCCTGTGTATGAAAATATTTTATAACTTAATATAAATAGCAAATAGTCGCCACACTTTCTAATGTATAAACAGTTAAACAAACGAAAACACACATTGAATCCTCCAGCGCCAACAGTGCTGTAAGGAAAACCTCTTCCTCCTCCGCTCTCAGCTAACTACTGATCAAACACAGGCAACACGTTAACAAAACAAACTTGTAGTCACATTTTTCAGACCTCAAAAATCAAATAAACAGGCCTGGGCTACGGTAGTTCTCAGCATAGTGGACAGCTTGTCTACTGGTTTTTGTTCAGAAAAAGCAACATGTTGACAGGCTGTGGGGTTAGTCTGTTGCGCAGTCTGTTAACTGTGAGACCCGCGGTGGAGAATACCTGCTCAGATGGTACCGATGTCCCAGGAATGCAGAGATAGCACCTTGCTATAGTGGCCAGCCTTGGTAAGCGCATCTGATTAGCTTTCCATCAGTCAAGAAGATTAGTATCCAATGAGGGGGGATTGTCTCTCATATATGTATATTGTTGAAATTGTTTAACTGATAGTATTAATCAGTCAAAACTATTCTTGTTGGTTAACGGTTAAACAGCTAATTATTAACATACTATAAACATTTGTGTCAGCAAAAAATGAATTAGTGCTAGTGTGAAAATTAATTTATTGCCAGCAATGATGTGATGAAGTCCATTTTTGTACTGTATTGTTGTCTTGAAAAAGCACTTCACCAAAACAGGTACTAGAAATACTAACTATGAGCTACAATAAGCCTCTTAGTCTATTTGGAACAGCTTGACTAAATCTCTGATGGACCAGTAAACAAAAAGGTAAAAACAAAATCAATTTACATCCTTCTAGAGTACTGCAACATTTGACAAAACTAAAGCACGGCACAGACATCCAAGACATGCACAGGAGCCAATGTGTGTTAGGAAGGAGATTTGTTGGATGGGTACAGGGTGCACTGAAGGAAACAGTGATGCATCTGGAGTAGGCATGAGGATTGGCCACCCCAGGTGGCTGCAATGAAGGAAAATTTGCATTCCTTATTTCAGCTGATGATGCAAGAGTGACATTACCACAAGGGAAAGTTCCTCCTTTTCACTCCTGCTTTTGTTTGCAGAAGAAGAAGAAAGCAACTTAGGGATCTCGTACATATATACTCAAAACATGAAGACTGCAGATGTAAAATTGACCACCCTGGCCCAGAGGCAATTCTGCTGAATGCATAAATTTAAATTGTGGTTTTGCTTTTTTATTTGCATATTTGATACTTTGACATTGCAGAATAACTGTCCAATAGAAAGCAACCTTACATAGCCAACAGCTAACTTCTGGACCCTTATGTCACCATCTGACAGCCATCTCTTTGTCTGTCTCCTTACCTCTGACTGTGTATGGATACGGCGCGCTGGTGGTTTCTGAACGCTGCCCAACAACCTGGCCATGGTTTAGGGTCACACCAGTACAACAACACAACAAAACGGTGGCACTGAAGCTAAAAATGCCTCTTTCTAAAACGCTGCATACCAAAGGTCCCTTGAGAGCATCCACCCTCTACATTAACCTGTACAACCGTTATCATGAGTGAAATTAGGCCATCTAGTACTGATACTTCTCTAGTGCTGTTGGCAGCTGTCATCGCTGTGTATATCCATTAATGTGTAAGACTTCCCTCTCTGCAAATGTCATTTGTGGTTTCAGTATTGAACAAAATGTTTGCACAATCGCATAATCAGGCTAATTGCCTCATCACAAAATGTGGACGTGTCTTGATGGAAGGGAGGAATGGGCTGCAGTCATCATGCATCTATAAATCTGCCCGATGACGGTCAATAATGGTTATGTGTCTCCTCAGGAACTGTAAAGGGCCCCTTACAGTAATGGCGCTAATGGTTTTGAGAGATGTCATTTAATTTCCTGATGAATGCCAATAAGTTATCTGTTGTGAAAATGCCACTCTTAATGAGAAACGGAAAACATCCCTTCTCTGTCAATTCAAGAATGCAACAGCCAAGCGTCAACTCAAAACTGTAATAAACCACACCCACTGTCTGTGCACAAACCCTTTGTTATTAAGTCAAGCATAAGAGCTGGGCCTACATTTTTGAACTGGATCATATTTCAAAAATGTGGATCACTTAACGTAAGATTTCAGTAAAAAGTAACTAAGTAACTAAAATAGGAAAATCATGTTAGGAAACATCGGAGTGTGAGTAAACCTTTCAAAGAGGATGTTACAGAAAGGCTGTTAACTACTACAACACCTTGAGACAAACTCTCAGTTAACAGTCAGTGTACATGTAACAAGACTGAAGATGACCAATTAGGCAGGTGATCAAAATGTAACATTTCAGAAAGAGGTACAACATTACAACTTTGCATTAATCCACATGACAAATATGACAGACAAGATATGTGTACAACATTTTTTAATAATCAACACTTCCATGTCTGAACAAAGGAACACGCCCCTTAGGAATGTAGTGCATGAGGAGGAAAAGAAAAACACCAGAGCCTAAAGTCAAGGGTCAACTGCTAGTGTGAAATTGTGTCCCAGCGGCCCGTCACAAAACATACCGCCACAGCAATGTTGACAACTATCACCTCACCATCACTTCTGATTCAAAGCTCAGTTTTCTGCTAGCGGCATTACATCATGATGCTCTTTCAATACCAAGTATCTCAAACAGCTGGAATCTGGAGCGCCTTCATTTTCTTTTGGCGACTTCACCTTCGAATCACCTGTGTCCTGGGAAAGTTACATTATAATCAGAATTAATTAGCTTTTTTACAAACGGCATGGAGAAGTTCTGACAAGCTAAACCAACCCATGGCATGCAGAAAAAGCTACATTGCTAATGTGTGGAGTCATTACGAGGTGACATGAAAGTGGTCTCTGCATGTTGACAAAGCTGAGCACAAAAAGCACACAAACATTCAAGGTCAACACAATAGGGAGACTGTGACACATCATTTTGAATTAGGTCAAGGAAATTACTATTTCTGTTCTTCTGTGGTTTACCTATTTCTGTTAATATTTGTAGTAGGGCTTAACAACATGCGAAAAAATTATATTGCGATTATTTTGGCAGATGTTGCAATTACGATATGAGTCACAGTTTCGGTTGGAAAGGTAATTTCTGTATCTCATTTCACTGAAAAAAAAATATAAAAATGATGATGATGTGATTTATACTGGGGCTTGTACCAAACAAGCATGTTCCCTTATGTCGGGAGAATATAATTTGAGGGCTGGGGGCATTTTCTGTAGCACCACAATGCTTCATTTATAGTATGTTTTCACACATTTTACCTTTATCAAAAAAAAATTGCAGCGTCTGCAATTTGGACTTTCTCACTCATAGGGTAAGTTATGTAACCAACCAACCACCCAACCAACAAACCATATCGCAACTTTTAATCTCAATCAAAGACTATCCATAATAGTTCCAACTCTGGTCAACACAGATGTCATAACCAAAAGAAACAAACAAAGCCATCATGTGATCTCAACCTTGCATAGCTGACATGTTTAGCTATTTAAGCACACATTTACTGTACTGAAATGTGCATTGAGATTTTTCTTAGAGGGTAACTGGTTTCATTGTTAACACCAACACTAACATTTTTATTAAGATAATTTGGTGGTATAACGTGCCCCTATCAGGAGACTAGGAGGCTATACACACAAAATTATTTACATGCCTACAGCACATCAGCTAGATAAACATGAATGATGCAACTCTGAAATATGCCTGTGTGGAAGCCTGTTCATCAGAAGGTGTCTAGATGCTTAAAAAAAGATAATTACAAGGAACCTGAACTGGGATAACTTGCAACAGGAACTTCATCTAACTAACACGACTGAAAGACTGAATATTCTGTAAATCATATCCATTTTCTGTGAATCGTTCTGGGTAAAGCTCTCTGACAGAAATCCTCCAAAGAGCTTTATCACTGGCTGATGATGAAACAGAGTGAACATCTGACTCAGCTTTTATCCGCATCCGTTACGACCTGCAAGGTGCCTGTGTCAGTTATGCTGGTAACAATCAGCTAACCTTATTAAATTTCACAGCTCGTAACACAATGGCTTTCATCTGTGGCTAATAAAGGACACTGCACTGCCTGTACTGGTCACACGGGGGGCACACATCACCTACATGCATACATGCATGGAGGCTACATTCACAAATTCAACTTCATGTCATTGTGAACAACTTTATATAAGACAACTTTATTCGTAAATTATGAGCATGATAAGGTTGTTAGTTATAGCGTGGCATTATAAATGCGTTAGACTGAAGATAACTGCTGCTCTGACAAAAGCATGCTGTCAGCAAAACAGGCTAACAAGCATGGTTGGTAAAATTTGGATAGCCATAAGGTCAAGCCTAGCACAGCTATGGGCCAAGGGCCATATCTTATCATTTGAGGGCCACTTGTGCTCAAATATCTGTGCACGTCATTAACGATGACTCTTGTCGGTGTGCTGCCATAAATGAGCAACAGCAACACATCCTAGATAAGCAGCAGAGAATATATTAACTAATGAAAATATAAATAATTAAGGGCCAGATATTTTACATGAGGTCAGAGGTCTAGAACAACAGTACTGGGGACATTTCAACTATTTTTGCTAAAATCAAAGACATCTCATAACTAATGTTGCTGCCTACAACAGGATAGAAAAAATATTTATATATTAATAAATATATTTTAAGGCTATTCGAGACCCACAGATCAGACCCTTTCACCGTGGCATTATCTGACGGAAGATGCCAATTAGTGGATCAGAGCCCACTTCCACTGACATAGGTAACAAACAGAGGGACAGCACGTGAAAGCAGTGTTTCACAAGCAAAGTCCCACTTGGCAGCCACAAGATTTGACAGGACATGATTTCGATCTCTTCAGAGCATTAACTTCATACCAATAAGTTGGTAATTTAAATTATTATAGCTCCAAATTTAGCCTTTATGTATGTATGTATGAGTACATCAGTTAGGAATGCCCAGATAGTTTGGCTGCCGACCAATATTGGACGATTTTCATTAAAAATACGTGATCAGTAGATAGGAATTATTGCTTATAGTCACCGCTCACCTTCAAACTGATCATCTGTGGTTAATACTCTGGTGTCTGCGGCTGACAGAAGCACTGTGTGCTGTGTAGTGTAGTCCTGCCTCCTACCTTGTTCAATGTGACAGCGCGCAACAGGCCACCAAAACAAAAACATGTTGGCCATGTGAAACTTTTACAAAGTGTGTGAGACTGATATTATGTATGCCATCTGCAATGCATAGCAAAAATTATTGGTATTGGCCATGGATTGGCTGATCTCACTCAGATGATCAGCACCGTCAGCAAAAAAACTGTGATCGCGGTATCCCTAGTTGTTGTTGCTAAGTATGAAACAGGTTCAAATCAAACCTTCCAATTCTCCAAAAGCTACCACTTGGCAACCACTATACAATAACTTGCTGCTAAAATTTTATTCAACAGCCTCTTGAGAATATTGATAGTGGTGTTAGTTTCACGCCAACACTGTCGGATGTTTTTTTTTCCAAAACTAAGTATTTATCCAAACAGTGTGTCAAAGTGGTCATTTGTAGGTTGGCAGGCAGCTGCTGTTGGCAGCAGGTCAGTAATGACCAGTCAACTAGCTGGTGGGCAAGCTGTCGTGAAGGTAAACCTCTGTGCAACTGTCAGCTCAGGGACAGAGAGTAATTTGGATATCTACTCTTCAGACTGCCACAATCACAAAGATAAACAGGCTCTCACTCTCATTGCCTGTTCACATAAGGAGGATGCCCCTTGTCAAAACTGCAGTTTTTTACATACTGTACTGTACATTTCTTTCAGGCCGTACCTTCAACAATCCTCTCAGCCTTTAATTTTACAAAAATATCCTAATGACATTAGAGAAGAACACCCTACAAGATCTGTGACTGTCATTTGCTTGAGTCTGCTTTTAAAGAAGTGGAAACAAGTTTCAGCAAAGCGACACTTGCAACTGCTGAAACTTTCTATTGCAGTTGCTGTGTTACCATTGCTAACTGCACTGAATAGAGCCTGGCTGCAGGGATGCACTTATTCAAATCAACCTCTGATAAAACTCGGGACTGACTAAGAACGCTTTCAAGTAAAACCAGATGACTGCATCCACTGGCTCCTGCAGTTACTACTAGAGAAATGAAGCATGCCTGTATCTTACAAAAAAACAGAGAGCTGTCGTTCTCATATTGGCTCCTTTTTCTAGGGATTCAAACAGAGAATTTGAGATTAGTTTGCACCCTTTGAACATCTGTTATTTTGGCTTTCCTGGCATGTGAAGTGTTACAGAACTTCATTACATTTTACATTCAAACTGCAAAGCATTTTCGCTTGGAAAAAACAACACCATGGCTTTCACAAAAGCAAAAATAATAAATTCATTAATGTATAGTAGTCTGTCAGAAACATGCCAACATTTAATAATAAATGTGAGAATGATGTGTCTCTAGTTAAATAACATATCAGGTCTAAGAAAATATAGGCTGGTGTCAAAGACAAAAGCAACATCTAAACAACAGAGTAAACTATGCTGAAAACCATCCTAGACAGAGGAAATTTACGAGTTACTCAACTTTGACCAACTACAGGTGGCAAGATGTTCCTTTTCTGTGATCTTAGGAACCAAACAAGCATTAGTGCTGTTTGAAATAGAAACATCCCCCTTTAAAAGTGTTGTATTTGGGTAAATTCAAGTCTAAAACACAAATACTCTTACCTGAGATGAGAGCGCAGTCTGTGTTTCATTTTGAAGCTGAACATGATTTTCAAAAACAAACAATTTCATCAATATCCCAAAATTCCAGTTAGTCAGCTGCAAGGCAGTCATTGCAGACCTTACTATACACACTTTAACCAATGCTTTGACATATCCGGGACAAGCTTGACTAAAATTAAGAGGGAGACTCGTTTGTCGTATTCAGTGCACAACCTTGTAAACCACAAGGGCGACAATTTGCGTTCATTCCTGTAAACCTTGGGTTCGCAAATTCCTGACCCGAATCACTCAATCATACATGCACACAATAAGACAGAAAACACTTGGGTACTGAGTAGACGCAGTTCATACAAACTCATCGCCTCTGATGTGCTCCACCCTGATTTTCTAACACCGTGCCAAAAATCCGTATGAAGCCAGAGATGCTAGGAGCTTCACCCGCATCCTTCGGTATGACAGCAGACCAAATATACTCTGAAACATGTCTTGTTAGATAACTGCGACAGGGGTAATGTGATGTTCAGTTGCAATGATATGTGCACAACAAGTATACAGCGCAAACCAGATGATGACTATCACTTTACGCCCTCTTGAAATGGTAACACTGAACACAACAGTCATCCGAAGCTGCAGCGGTTAACAACAAAATATCAACATGTCGTTGGCAATAAAATGGCCAAACGAATTGCCGATAACAGAGCTAACGTAATGTCCTGTGAGCTATGTTTGATTTTGTTTTTTTTAATCAAGGTTCACAGAGTCTGCACAAACGCTGCTTCGCACTATGCTAATTTCTGGTTATTACTAACTTGGGATGGACGCCAATGCAACTAATGTACGCTGGCGTTGACATACCCAACATACTGACATGTTTCCCTGACTGTGGTAACGCCAGTAGCGATTTTGGTCGAGCTGACAGCCGGTAGCTCAACGTTATCTGTAGCTAAAGTTAACGTTAGCCAAGTTAGCTTCAGTGAGAAAGTTAGCAACTCACTCCAATAAAGACTCATACCATGCATTCAAGCTCACTTAGCGACAGTTAACGTATGCAGTAGCTAATGTTGGCCGACTTCATTTTTTGCAAGTGCAGAAGATTGTTTATCTGGACCCATGGATAAACTCTGCTGACACGGTACCTGCTGCTTCGGACCAAGCGGCCTATCCGCCATTTTGAGACATAGAAAGGAGGCGCAGACGTTACAGCCACATCGTCATTTTCCCACCTAACGGCCGATTCCTTCTCTCCCAACCGGCTCCGTGACTGGAAACTGTTTGAACTCACCCTATTGTTTCTGCCCGTGAATATCCCCAGCCGTCTCAAACGGTAACACGACCCGACGGGGCGTGAAATTTCCGCTCCAAAATAAGGTCTTGTGATGTAGAGGTGAGCCGTGTCTCGTCTCCGCCGCCACCGCTTGTTTTCTCGTCGCCTACTGCATTCGCCTTCAGACGAGAGCGCGCACGAAGCTCGCGTTCACAGTCTGTCGGGAGCGCGCACGCCCTTGATAGCAGAAAAAACTGGTGTTTTATACGTTTACAAAAAAAAATTAACTCTTACATGGCTTCTCATGGCTTTTAAATGCTAAATTAGTCCAGGGGCGGGGTTGCAAACTTTTTTTGGGGGGACTTTAAAGAAGGGGGCACATTTATACTCAAATTCAAAACCCTGATTCTTGCCATTAATAAACCGTACATTATCAGTAGTTCGATTGTTTAGTCCGTGCAATATATGAATGCCGAATAAACTATTTAAAATCCAAATTGCAACATGGATGCAGTACAACAATAGATGGATTATGAGACAACAGCCCCGTGGAAACAGACAGGTAAAAGACAATGGGTTTTGACATTGTTAGACCACTTCTAATTGTGCACATGCAAGAAGATGTTTGGATTGTGACTTAAATATATACCATGCTGAATACAATCTGCAGTTGTGAAAGTAACTGAATATTTATTAGTACTGTACTTTTGAGGTATTTGTATTTTACTTGAGTATTTCCATTTTATGATGTTTTATACTTCCACTCTACTCCATTTTTCTGACAGGTATAGCTACTTTAAAATGTAATAATTTGCCTATTTTGTGATCAGCCTATAAAATATGATGCACATTTATACATTAAACTCCCCAACAGTTAAATACTTAAAATGGCTCCATCACATCCAGCTATAACAAGAAAATGCTGCACAACAGGACCCATTCTGCTACCCAATGATTGCTTTTACTATCAATATTTGAAGTCAAATTTTGCTACTAATACCTTTGTGCTTCTACTAAGTTAAAAGTAAAGAGTATTTTACAGAGTGGTATTCCTATTTTTACTTAAGTAAAAGTTCCCAGAATTCATTGTTCCACCACTGGCAATTATGAGTTGTCAAAACCTAGTTTTATTTTTATTAATTGTAATATAAAAGTATACCCAGACCAAATATAATTGGATTATTTTGTAAAGAGCAATACAAATATACCACACATCATCAAGGGAAGCAGACTCAAACACTTGGCCTAAAGGCCTTTGTGCAGAAGAAATTTTCATCAGCTGAGAAAACACAAGACCCTCCGGCAATCATCATTACGGGCATCACACAGAGACAATAAATGCAATATGACCAGTGCCGTCAAAGTGCTTCTTATTTTGAGATAGATGTTTTTTTCATCCACAATAAAGACTTTTTTTCTCACAAAACTGTGCTCATAAAATAGACTGAGCTATTTTTAACCTTTAATGGCAATTTTGTACAGGATGCATATCTGATAATTCAGTAATTTTTCATCTTATTGTATGTATTTGTAATTTCGGTTACTTTGCAACATGAATCTCTGAATACAGAGTAAGTTACTGCAAATGGTTAGTTTGCAAATTATATGTGAAAGAATAAACTTCAAACTTATCCCCCCCCCCACTTCTGACACTAATATCTTAATAACGTGAAATAATACATCATGCACTTTTACCAGCTAAAACAATTAAATATCAAGAAATGTTACACTGAACACCAGCCGAGGCGGATGGATGTCTACAAACAACAGAAGCACTGTGTTAAAAGAGCATAAAAGAGCAATATCTCTGCAGACAGTTTTATCATTCTCAATGAGTTTATTCTATATCATAACCTATTAGAATACCCAAACAATAGACTCACTGCATTTGGGATTTCAAAAGGTTCAGAACATGTTCAACAGGTAGCAGTCTATCATTTTTAGCCATCAAACTAATATTCTGAAAATAAAAATGCTAAAAATTAAATTTCCCTCTTTTTAAATTGTCTAAGTCAACTGAAGCATGTGTGCATTTGCACTACAACATTTCCTGTGATCCAGGTCCATGCGTTTCCTTCTCAATGAGACAAATGTTAGTGTGCCACCTAATGGGCATTGTGGGTATTATTGTTGAGTGAGACTTGGGGAGCAGAGGGAAAAGGAAAATAAAGAAACTTGGGAAAAAAAAAAAAAAAAAAAATTGGGAAAAAAAAAAAAAAAAAAAATGATACAAGAAAACCTGAAAAACAACAATAAGAAGCATATTTCACCATTATAAATTGTTAAGTTTTTACCTGTTATCACCCTGGTACCATTCAGAATCATAAACAATAGGCACAAATCACACCACGCTCTGCTCCTGATGTTATGACATGTTTTAGGAGCACAATCAGTCAAATCGCTGTAATAACTTCATTGCCCAGTCTTCACAGCTCGCCTTTTTTTTTTTTTTTTTTTTTTTCATATGGCTCCCTTATTTGCAGGTAATTCAGCCAGTACAGAAAGTAGTCCATGTTGCACTTCTTGTGCCAAGTAAAAACTGCATTTTCTGAAAACAATCAGTTCCAGCACCATCTCTCTATTGCTTTAATCACATAACATTTAGACACGGCAACAATTAAGTAACAAATTGCCATGGGAGGGATACATTGCATGTATACAAGCGCAAACAAACCTTCAGTCTTTTTTGGTACATCACATTGAGGCAGCCATTCTTTTGTCCACTTTTGGTGGTGCTGTAAATATGTTAACACATCCAAACAGCACAAGAAAGTGCACTAAATACTGCTCAGTGAACAGACACTCCTGGCTGGTTTTTTGTCTCAGTTACATACGAAAAGATGACATGACCCGATAATGGAAAAAGAAAAAAACAAAAACAAACACCCAGCAACAATAAAATCACTCACTACTGCCAATGTTGTGCACCTGTCCAGTGGTGAGAATAGGTTAATTTCAGTACCAATTCATACATAAACAGATTGACAACATTGGTGGCCATGAATATTTTAAGAAAAGAGGCATCAGCCATCCAACAGGTTTACTATGCGTAGAAAAATAAAACATCTGGAAAGCCAATGTTCGCTTAGCCTCTATTCAAACTATGCAGCAGCAAAAGCAACAGCCCTGGCCAATAGATTTTCTGTTGGACTACACAAAGACACACACACTGTCACACATACAAACATACATGCACATATTTTCTTTCAATGTGTAAAAATAGAAGGTTGAACACAGCTAGTATATAGATTGATATTCTACTGCGTAAAGTGGACGTTTTTCAAATCTGCGTTTTCCATTAACATCAATCGAGAACCTGTCTAAATCCGATAGAGATTTATACATCTTTTCCCACCTCTATACATTTTCTATAAAACAGACATGGCTTAAATTAACTGATGATCCATAGGCCTAAAATACCTTCTTAATTCTCCTGTGCACTTTTACAAAAATTAATTATATTTACTAAAAAACAAAAACAAAAAAAAAAACAAAAAAAAGAAAGAAAGAAAGAAAAGAAAAAATAAATCCAGCAATAAAAAAAAACAGTTGAGAGCTCACTAATTATTTGCTTGCTTGAAGAAACAGGAACCATTGGACACAGCAGGCACCCACCTGGGATGTCTCAAGTACACATGATGGAAAAATTAAATTATTTAACCATCGGGGACGTGTAAGAATGATGGGTGATTGCTGCAAAGTGGCTCAAAGAAGCCACCAAGAGGGGAATTTACATTCTGAAGCCCCACTCGAAAAAATCTCAAATTTATTGACTGTATTCTGGTCTTAGTGCACAGTAGAAAGTACCCCTGAGTTCTAGGACAGGGTAGGTGCTTTATCATTTAGAGCACCGTTGGGGGGGAGGAGGTGGTGCCATATGCCCGGGGGTCTTCGAGGCTCTTTAGGGAATGGCGGGGCAAAAATGTGGTCCTGGGCTAACAGTGCTGTGGGTAGTTTGAGCTGAGAAGAAGCATTACTTGGGGATTATGTTACAGTGGATAAGGCTCTGGTATACAATATCGTGGTCATCCTTGGTCTCCCTCGCCAGCTGCAACTACTCTCATATATAAATCATATTTCTAAGCAGCTAACACCTTGAGTGACTTCATCACCAGGTTCTTGGGCCTTGGTTTTTCACATTGCATGTTAACATTGATTCTATGTTGTTTGTACTTTCTGCTTACTCCCTTCCTAACCTTGTAGGAAACTGCTGCTCTGTCCTTTGTCCTACAGTTCATACAGTTTGTTCTCTGGACTGCCCTGACCCAACCCTCCCCGTTTATTTCAATGCTGATTTAGACTGCTTGGTTCTCGGGTCCACAGGCCCAGTGACAGGGCTGTTTTGTCACGGCCCCCCCCCTCCCAAATAGCAGAAAGTAGCTGTGTGTTGAGGGCTTTTGGATATTAATCAATGGGAATTTTGTCTTCTAGTTCCAGTGGGCTGTCCTCAGTGGGCTCCTCACCCTTTCCCAGCTCCTGCAGCTGCTGCCGCCTCTGAACCTCTGCCTTCAGGTTCTCCAGATCCTTTTGGCTGAAAAGAAAAACAAATAGGATCAATGCTGAACTCACAGACTTTCTGTAAAAGAAACTTTGGGCATAGCTTGACCATTTAAAATTCATTGTTCTCTCAACTTTATTAAAATGTACCTTATTTGAACTCATCTTGAAAACCAGTGGATATCAGTAGCCACACAGTAATTCCTACTTTTGCTTATAGTGTCAATTTTTTTGTTGAAATGATCTTAAGGAGCCACTGAATACCTGCAGGTGTTCAGGGTATTATGAACTCCCATAAACTCATAATACTCATTTTGACTCTACCTGAGAGGTATAAAGATGATGCCGTTGATTATGTTGAGCTGTTCTAGCACGCTGGCCATGCTGGGGGCAGTGAACTGCGGAATAGGACGAAATAAAAAACATCAGTGCTAAACGTTTGAGCTGTAACAGATGGAAGCACAAAAACATGTCCGACTCAGAGCAGTCACCTTGAGGGGCATGATGCTGGCGTTGGAGCCGTTCTTGTAGATCTCATTCATGGTTCTCTGCAGAGCCACGGCCTGCTGGGTGAGATACTTTAGGTACTCAGAGCTCTCCTTGGTTTTCTCATGTGCTTCACCCATCTGAGAAGAGGAAAAAAAAAAGTTTAAATATCACTTCATCACA